AAAGGCCACGGCCCACCCATCCCTGCGGCATGCATCTTCGTGCATGTCTCTCCGGCGCTCTCGCGCCTCTGGCCCCGTGTCGTCCATGGGCAGGTAGCCGGCACCTGCCAGCAAAGCGCCGAGGATCGACACCACCTGTAAGCTGCTTCGCGGCAAAGATAAAGCCACGATCTCGCCATTCGCGCCTCGCAGGGCTCACTCTCATGCTGCAGCCTTGCGCAACTACCCCTTGACTGTCAGGGGCGGGCCTAGCTGTTCGAGCACTGCGGCCAACTGCCGCACGGCTTCTGCCAGCTCCTCACCGAGCAGGTGCGCTGATTCTGCCCGAGGCTCTCGCGAGCGAAAAGCATCGAGAAGCGATACGGAAAGCTGCAGAGCAAACCCAAACATTTGCCCACTCCTGGTACGTTACCACAGTCTTTGCCTCGTGGGGCAACACCAGGGCGGTCGCCGTCGGCGTCAGCTTCGCCTGCTCCAGGAACAGCTCGTGGACCTGGACATCGCAAATCCTCGCAACTTGCGCCGGTGACCCGAAATAAGTGTGCCCATGTGTGCCCCCTTGCTTCTGTCGAGCCTTGCTTTCTGGGAAGGCCGGCATCTCGCCGAAGGCTTCCGACATCTTCGACACATCGTCGAAGCCGCTGCTTTGCCGCCTCGCTGGCGAACGTGCTCGTCTGCGGCAGCTGCAGCGACTGCGAAGCCGCGTGTAGAGGAACACCGCCAGCACCACGCATGCCCAGAAGCCCGTGTAGAGTGCGAAGAACATGAGCTTGCCCTGAAGATCCCATACCTCGTTCGGGTCGCGGAAGTCGCTTGGGAACGGCCAACCGTCCATGGCTCCGGTGTTCATGATGGCTCTATCGCCGCACGCAAAATCCTGCTAAATCTCCGAGCCCTGCAAGCTAAAGTACCCACGGGATGATGCAGCTGGGAATATTCCGGAGCACTTCCTGACTGCTTTGCTTCGGTTTTCCGCTTCGCCAGATCCTGCAGTCGATGGCAGACTTCGCTGGCATTCGCTGGCTCAAGGCAGCTTTACAAGCCCCAAATCCAGGTGTCCTAACTTGGTGCAAGGATTTCCTCGACTCCTCTGAGTCCTTGGGCTGTACAGGGAATCAAAATTGCTCGGACGAGTCTCCCTTAGAGAGAACACGGTCC